GAAAGAACTTGTGGGTGAGTGGACAAGGGGGAGGGAACCTGCAGCCTCGGACTCTGTGCTCACAAGCGCTCTTCTCTTCTCCAAGGAGGACAGATGGGGGGGGTGTAGAGAGGGGGGCAGGTGGGTGATGGAGAGGTGAGGAGACAGCACAGGCCGGCAGTGCTATCCTGCGTGGCAGTGCGCAGGTCAGGGTCCCAGGTGGATGGACGGAGGGGCGAGGCTGGTGGCATGCTGATGGGGAAACACCGTGTTCAGATGCAGTGGCCACAGAGTACAACGTGGCGTCCGTGGACCATGGCAGAGCAACACCAGGATCTTGTGCTGGGTGTTGGACAGGGGCAGGAGTGGCACTGGGGGTGTCAGGGTTAGGGTAGGAAGTTCCACCAAAGGCCACAGGTGATCCCGGCTCAAACATCTGGTTGGGGAGTGAGGCTGACTGTCTTAAACGCGGGGGTCCGGGGATGCCCGGTGAGTGGGCAGGGTGGGCGCTGCTTTGCACCCAGGGGCCAGGGACAGCCTCCCTGTGGTGGGAACTTGTGTGCACAAATGGGAGTGAAGGGAGGGACAGCGGCACCCCACGCAGATCTGGGGGGACCTGCAGACCAGGGGGCAGTGTAACAAAGCCCCCCATGGGCGGGCAAAGGCTGGCGTGGCCGGACAGAGCAGGGACCCCTCACAGAACCTCAGCTTTCCCAGCCCCAAAGCTGGAGCAATGAGAAGCTGTCATAGAGATAACCTACGTGGCGCTTTCCATGAAGCTGAGCCTCACGGCCGGCCTCCATCGCTGTCCGTTCCCTGGACACGTTCTGTGGCGCTGGCTCGTGAAGTCTTGCAGAGATCTCAAACTGCTCTTCCCGTACTCTCTCCTCCTTCTGGAACAGCCCCTGGCTCCCTTCTACCCACGTATGCTGCTAGTCTCCCAGTCTCTCCTCTCCTTCCCCTCAGACCCTACCAACCCCTGTCTGGGGCCTTGTGACCCCTGGATCCTCGGGTACCCATTAATCTTCCACACCGTAAGGCTGTGGGTGACTGTGTATCTTTTTTCCTTTTGTTTTTCTTTACTTCCTGCTTTTTTTTTTAATAGTGCCTGTGTATCTCTTTTAGTAATTCAACACATAATACATACACAAACACACACAGAGACTGTTTCTGTCATTTCTTCACAAAGAATTTGGGGCCTCAGTTTTAAATCCTGCCAGGAGGTAGCTGCAAGTCCACACCCAGCAGGGGCTGTCTCCTGGGGCCTCGCTCTGATCCTGCGCTCACCTCTGTCCAGAGCACGAAGAGCAGGGCTTTATGAGCCCGGTGGTTCCGTAGCAGGTGCCTCGGATGCCCCAAGGCTGGGCCTCTCCGGCTTATTCTCCGGCTTATTCTAAGGGGATGAGATGGCAAATATACCCCTGGGAACTTGGGGAGGTGGGAAACTATGTGCCCGTTGCAGCCGCCGCCTCGCGTGTGGTTGGACCTTGGTTTTCCCTTCAGTTTCTGGTTGCCTGCAAGCTCTGTGGGGCCTGTGGGCCTGGCTGCAGGGAGTCTAGGGTCATCACACAGGGTCACCTGACCTTTAGACTAGCAGAGGAGTTCTGAGTGGAGTTTCACCACCCAGGAGAGAAACAAATTGAATTGCATTTGAAGAACTAATAGAAGATAAAACATTTTTTTTCAAGATTTGTTTGTTGGGAAGGTAGAGTTACAGAGAGAGAGAGAGAAAGAGAGAGAGAGAGAGATAGGTGTCTTCCATCCGCTGGTTCACTCCCCAAATGGCTGCAATGGCCAAAGCTAAGCTGATCTGAAGCCAGGAGCCAGGAGCTTCTTCCAGGTCTCCCACGTGGGTGCAGGGGCCCAAGGATTTGGGCCATCTTCCAGTGCTCTCCCTGGCCATAGCAGAGAGCTGGATCAGAAGTGGAGCAGCCAGGACTCGAACCGGCGCCCATATGGGATGCTGGCACTGCAGGCTGCACCAGCTATGCCACAGCGCTAGCCCCCAAACATCTTTTTAAATTATGTATTTTTTATTTATTTGAAAGACAGAAAGGGAGAGAGGGAGAGACAGCCCATCGTCTGATTCACTTCCCATAGTCCAACAATAACTGGAGCTGGACCAGGCCAAAGCTGGGAGCTAGACACTCAGTTCAGGCCTTCCACGTGGGTGGCAAGGATACAATGACATGACCCATCATCTGCTGCCTCCCAGGGTGTGCATTGCCAGGAACCTGGGGTAAAGACTGGAGCCAGGACTCGAACCCAGGTACTTCGATGTGGGGTGCAGATGTCTAAACCACTGGGCCACGCACCTGCTCCCAAATAAAACATCTTTGTGTTCACCAAACTCCATGGCCCTGTTCTCTGAGAGCCCGTTGGCATCTGTTTGCTGTCTCTGCTATGCGTTGAGCAGCATTTTAAAGCCCTGATCACCTGGTTTGCAGAGCAGGTGTGCGGGGAGCAAGCCCAAGAGCCTCAGAGAGCAGCTAGGAACCTGTTGCTTCTCCCCGCAAACGGCTCAGGGAAGTGTTTTGTTTCTTCAGCGTTACCGTTTTGGGCACTCAGCTAGGTATAAGCGCTTCGTCTCCACAGTAAAGTAGTATATTGTCGCTCCCCCATTCGTGGAGGAACGACACCAGACCCTGCGCTGTTCTTTTATCTGCTCGGCCCTTGCCGGGTTAGCTGCCGTTCCCTCATTCGCGGAGGAACGACGCCGTCCCGGGTTAGCTGCCGCACCCCCCCACCCAGCCTCCGCGGAGGGGCGGCACCCCCCGCCGCTTTCCCAGCTTCCGCGGGGGAGCGGCACACCGCCGGCCGGCTCTCTCGGGGGCTGCTCAGATGTTCCTCAGATGTTCCTTCAGATGTTCCTGGTGCATGTTGTCTCTCTCCTCCTTTATAGTCCTCTTCCACCAATCCCAACTCTGCTACCCACACGCCGAGTACTCTGCTCTCCTCCAATCAGGAGCAGGATCAGCTCCTGCCGCTTACCAAACTGATGAGGCAGCTGCGTAGAGGTTGTTTGCTCCCTCAGCGCCATATTGTGGGAGAGCAGATGCATAGAATAAGTCTTAATTCCAGTAACTTAGTCTAGTCTCAGTTGCTCCCCACAGTATATTTAGTGCTGATTTTGTTGCACTCCAGAATCTGAGAGAAGGTTCCAGAACCTTCTGAGAGAATTCCCGAGCCTCACTGTCTTCATCTGTAAAATATGGGGAATGCCCACTGGGCTGTTGTGAGGACGAGAAGGATGAAGTGGAGCGAATGAAGCTTGGGTCACGGCCCCAGCGTGGCCCCCGGCTTGCGGTGGGTCCTGAGGACAGGCTAGGGTGAGAGGGGTGAAATGAGTCAGCTAGCTGCCACCATCGCGGGGCCCTCTGAGGCACGATGATGCCCCTGATTTCGCGTGGTTTGCCTACCTCACGCGTTTAATCTGGGAGTTGTGGGGTGGAGGGGCCGGTGCTGTGGCACAGTGGGTAATGCCACTGCCTGCAGTGCCGGCATCCCATGTGGGCTCTGCTTCGAGTCCCGGCTGCTCTACTTCCAGTCCAGCTCACTGCTGTGGCCTGAGAAAGCAGTAGAAGAAGGCCCAAGTCCTTAGGCCCCTGCACCCACATGGGAGACCTGGAAGAACTCCTGGCTCCTGGTTCCTGGCTTCAGATCAGCCCAGCTTCAGCTGTAGCGGCCACCTGGGGAGTGAACCAGTGAAGGAAGACCTCTCTCTCTCTCTCTGTAACTCTGCCTTTTAAATAAATAAATAAATCTTTAAAAAAAAAAAAGTGACTTTCTCTAGGTTGGAAATGTCTCTGACTTATTTATCCATGATAAGATCAACTTATCCTAGTGAAAGTAATGATGGATTCCAATGGGTTCCCCAAGACCCCAGGGCTCCCACAAATGGCAGGTGTTGCCACCACACTGTGTGGTGCTGAGGGGAGAACATGGAGGTGGCCACGCCCCAGGGCCAGTGATGACACAGCCCTGAGGGCAGCAGGACTGGAAGTCCAGGTCATTTTTAGAAATGAAGGAGGCCCCTCGGGCACTAGAGCTTGTTATATCCTACCTGACTGCACATGTGCCTGGGAGAAGGGGCAGGACAGGCACCTTGCCTGTGACTGACTCAGGCAGAGCAATCCTGGAAACCATCTGGGACACTGGGACAGATTCTGGAGCTTTCCTGGCGAGGAGGGTGAGCTGGAAGGAGTGTGCAGCTTTCCCCTCGGAAAGGGAAGGCCTGGGGCCAGGCTGAGCCAAGCTTGGCTTCCGTCACATCTGCCTCTGTAGAGCTGCTGCGTCTCCAGCGCGCGGGTGTGCAGACAGGGCCTGCACTTTGCAGACAAGCCGCAGGCTACCGCCGTGTGAGAAAGGACCGCAGGGAGTAGAATCAAGAAAGAAGGAACCGGGAGGAGTGCGAATGTGTGGTGAGGAGTATTTTGTGATACTGCGATGCAGAGTGGCAACGTAAGGCTTTTGTGGCGCCTCCCAAGACTTTTTGTACATCTGTTTGCTGATTTTTAGAGAGATTGTTGGGGATGGGGGTAGTATTCTCCTGCATATGGTAGGGTAAAATCACTCACACCTTGACATTTTTAGAATTCATAAGATTTAGAATGAAGAGAGAAAAAAATCAGCATAATTTGCTGAAATCTTTTGGGAAAATATGATGTAACTGTGAACGCAGTGCTCAAGATGGTATTTACAGACCAGAAGCTAACATGATGGATCCAAATTCTTACAGTAGTTACTCCGGGCAGCAGAAATATAGTGATTTTCTTTAAATTTTTTTTTCTGGGGCTGGCGCTGTGGTGCAGCGGGTTAATGCCCTGGCCTGAAGCACCAGCATCCCATATGGGCGCCGGTTTGAGTCCCGGCCCCTCCACTTCCGCCAGCTCTCTGCTATGGCCTGGGAAGCAGTAGAAGATGGTCCTATTTTCTGTGTGTTTTCTAATTTTAGAGAGAACAGCCTTGTGGAATGAAAGGATTGCAAAGTTACAGTGTGTTTTTTCTCCGTCCTGCAATAGGGTTACATGATGGAGAACCGGATCTCGGGCCTGAAGTGTGACACAGATGTGTTTGTGACTTTTGAAGGTGACAATGTCGTTATGCTTCAGGTAAGAGTCAGGCAATGTTTGTTCTTGTTACATCTTTAATTTAAAGAGTTATCCATCACTTGGAGGTGCTCCATGCGTTAGCTTAAGCTGGAGTCTTTAATTGGTGGGTGTTCTTCTGCTAGGCACTTGTGTTTGCAGTAGCTGAACGGGATTACATCATTTCTCTCTTAGCTGATCTTTGGTGTTGAATTATATCTCTTTGGTTTAAGGAAACTATGTGTACATTTTGAATCAGATTCTTCTGCTAGGAAAGCTATTCCATAGGAAAATAGAAACCCCAGAAGATGAACAGGCAAAAGACATAAAAAGCCAATTTACAAAAGGAGGGCAACTGGTCAACCTCACTAGTGATCAAAGAGATGCATATTAAGACATGTGTACTCTTGGGCACGTTAGAACGCATGTTGAATTCCCACCTCTGGTAAGGGTACAAGGGGTCTTCTCGCGTGTTGCTTTTGGGCTGTGTGTAATTCTACTTCTGGGACTCTATCCTAAGGTAATAATCCCAAACACAGACAGGCAAAAGTGTTTTGATTAGTACATTATTTATTATAGAGTAACATCGGAGTCTAAATTTTCAGCAATAAGAAAATGATTATGTAAATGATGCTCAGACTACTCAGTGGGGAATGATACCGCATTTGTAATCAAACTTGCAAAGAGTTCTGTGTGTCACAAAAATGAAAAACTTATGGTAAGTAAAAATGGTACAAAAGTGTATGTAGATTGTGATCACAATGCCCTGCTTTTCAATTTATTTTTTTAAATTTATTTGAAAGGCAAAATGTGGGGGAGAGAGAGGGAGATCATATATTTGCTGGTTCACTCCCCAAAAACCTCCATGGGCCAGGGCTGGGCTAAGCTAAAGCCAGGACCCAGGAACTCCATCTGGGTCTCCCATGTGGGTGTCAGGAGCCCAGGTGCTTGAGCCATCATCTGCTGCTTTCCCAGGTGCATCAACAGGGAGCTGGGTCGATGGGGGATGCAGACATCCCAAGCAGCACTTTAACTGCTGCTCCAAATGCCTGTCCCCCAATGTTTTGTCTTTTAAAAAGAGTAGGGACTTCCAGGTGGATAACCCCATCTTTCGCAGGTCCTCCGTCCTGACGTTCACCAAGGACATGACACGACAGACAAGCATAGGGAGACTCCATGGCTGTCTGGTGACTTCGGAGTCGAGGAATAGAATGGCACACGTTCTGTGGCTTTCTTTATTGTGTCCCGTATATGCCCCAGGCAAAACACGCTCCAGGAAAAAGCCTGCTGTCCTAAGCTGAAGGACCAGGAAGAGGGGGCCTAACAACAGGAAATCACTCTACCCCAGGGGGACACACTAGCGAACCTGACAGCTCTCCCCAGCCGTTTCAGCAGGACCTAACCAAAGCTGCACCTCCACCTGACCCTGACTCTGCCGTCACAGGAGCCTCTTCCCTCACCCAGCACCAGGGAGGCACAGTGCAGGTGGGGGGAAGGGGGCTAATTGGCACTTTGCCTCCTCATTCGCTTCCTCTGGTGTCAGCAGGGCCATGGGGGAGCTGAACTTTCACTCCACTTTGCCTGCAACAAGGTCGTGGGAGTCAGTCAAGCTGGTGTTGGTGGATGTAGGGGCAAGAGGACACCCGCCAGGATCTCTTACTACCCCTCAAGATTAAATAGGGTTTCAGTTTTTAAAAATTAATTGAAAGGGAGAGAAGGAGAGAAAGAGAGAGAGAGAGAGAGAGAGAGAGCGAGCCTCTCCTCTGCTGTTTACTCCCCAAATGCCTACAATAGCCAGGGCTGGGCCAGGACAAAGCTTAGTGGCAGGAACCCAAGCCCTTGAGCCATCACCTGCTGCCTCCCAGAGTGTGCATCAGCAGGATGCTGGGGTCAGGAATGGAGCTGGGACGTAAATGCAGGCACATCCCAAATGTCATCTTAACCACTGGGCCAAGTGCCCACCTGGTATCTTAAAATATCCAAATACATTGAATGCAGTGGGAACATCGCTCATCATGCAGAGGACCAGGAAAACCACAAACTAAGTGAGAAAAATCAAGAGATGCTGACACTGAGAAGAAGAAGATGTTGGAATTATATGACAGGGATTCATGAAAGTACTTCAAGTCCAATTTCAAATCCTCTTAAAATACTTAAAGAATATAAAAAATATCAGCAAGGAAGTAGGAGAAATAAAATGGACCACACGGAAATGATAGTGTTGAAGTTTAATAATTGAAATTACAATCTTGCAGAGTGGCCTTGATAAAAGAGTGGATAAGATAGAAGATGGAATCAGCAAATCTGAGGGCAGGTCAATAAAATTTACCCAGCCTGAAAGAGAATTCAGAAACGCGCAGAATCACAGGGACCTGTGGGACGATAGCAGAAGAGCCACTGTGTGCATTGTCAGTCTCAGAAGGAGATTGCATTGCTCAAGATATGCAGAGAAGGCCAGCGCCGCGGCTCACTAGGCTAATCCTCCACCTTGCGCGCCGGCACACCAGGTTCTAGTCCCGGTCGGGGCGCCGGATTCTGTCCCAGTTGCTCCTCTTCCAGGCAAGCTCTCTGCTGTGGCCAGGGAGTGCAGTGAAGGATGGCCCAAGTGCTTGGGCCCTGCACCCGCATGGGAGACCAGGAGAAGCACCTGGCTCCTGCCATTGGATCAGTGGGGTGCGCCGGCTGCAGAGCGCCAGCCGCGGCGGCCATTAGAGGGTGAACCAACGGCAAAGGAAGACCTTTCTCTCTGTCTCTCTCTCTCACTGTCCACTCTGCCTGTCAAAAAAAAAAAAAAAAGATATGCAGAGAAAATACTTCAGACAATTTCGTTTATTTCATTTATTTATCTTTAAATATTTATTTATTTAATTTATTTGAAAAGCAGAGAGAGAGGGAGAGAGAGAGAGAGAATGAATGAATATCTTCCATCTGCTGGTTCACTCCTCAATTGGCCGCAACGGCTGGAGCTGCGCCGATCTGAAGCCTGGAGCCAGGAGCCAGGAGCCAGGAGCTTCTTCTGGGTCTCCCACGTGGGTGCAGGGACCCAAGGAATTGGGCCATCTACTGCTTTCCCAGGCCACAGCAGAGAGCTGGATTGGAAGTGGAGCAGCCGGGTCTCAAACCGGTGCCTATATGGGATGCTGGTGCTTCAGGCCAGGACAATAACCTGCTGCACCATAGTGCCGGGCCCAGAAAGGCAGCCTTTTCAACAAATGGTGTTGGAGTAATTCAGCACTCAAAGTCATACAATGGACCTTGACCTAGGTCTCACATTCTAGAAACCTTACATGGATTATTGCCTTAAATGTAAAACTATAAAACTTTTAGAAAAAAAAATTTAACAGAAAATCTTTGAGACTTAGAGCAAGGCAACAAGTTCTTGACTTGACATCAAAAGCACAACTCATAAGAGGGAAAACCTGATTAACTAGATTTAATCAAAAGTAAGGTATTTTGTTCTGTGAAAGACCCTATGAATGGGATTGCATATCTGACAAAAGACTTGGGCCTAAAGTATATTTAAAAACTCCCCAAACTCAACAATAAAAAAAACAGGCAATCCAATTAGGAAGTGGGCAAAAGACATGCACAGACATTTCCCTGAAGAGGCCATGTTAATGGCAAATAAGCACATGACAAGATGCACAGACTTGCTTAGCCACTGTGGAAATACAAATTAAAGCCCCAGTAAAATGTTCCTCTGGGACACTAAGATAACATATGCAGTTAGCAACACACCCTGCTGGCCAGGAAGCAGACGGACTGGATCACTCGTATATCCCAAGGTTATAGACGCTCCAGAAAAAGAGCATAGCTGTTCCCCAGAAGACTAACCATGTGCTTACTGCACAACCCAGCAATTACACACTTGGCATTTACTCCCAGAGAAATGAAAACTTATGTTCACACCAAGTGTTCATAGCTGCTTTATTCACAATAGCAAATGTGAAAACAACCTAATTTCCTGGGCCTGGTGCTGTGACACAGCAGGTTAAAGCCCTGGCCTGCAGTGCCAGCATCCCATATGGGTGTGGGTTCAAGACCCAGCTGCTCCACTTCTGATCCAGCTCTCTGCTATGGCCTGGGACAGCAGCAGAGAATGGCTCAAGTCCTTGGACCCCTGCACCCATGTGGGAGACCTGGAAGAAGTTCCTGTCTCCTGGTTTCGGATCAGTCCAGCTCCAGCCATTGAGGCCATTTGGGGAGTGAACAAGCAGATGGAAGACCTCTCTTTCTCTCTCCTGTCTCTGCCTCTCTGTAACTTTGTCTTTCAAATAAAATAAAATAAATCTTAAAAAAAATGAATTTCCTGTCAATAGGTGAACACTTAAAAGGACTGTGATACATCCATATCATGGAATACTACATAGTAATAAGAAGTTATTGGGGTGGGCCTTGTGACACAGCAGGTTAAGGTGCTGCTTGGGGCACCCACATCCCATACTGGAGTGCCTGAGATTGGGTCCCACCCTCACTTCCTGCTAATGCTCACCTTGGAAGGCAGCGGGCTATGGCTCATATACTCGGGTATCTGTCACCCATGTGGGAGACCCAGATGGAGTTCCTTGCTCCTGGCTTTGGCCCAGTCCAGCCCAGCGTTGACTGTTGGCATTTGAGGAGTTAATCAGTGAATGGAACACTCTCTCTCTTTCCCTCTGTCACTCTATCTTTCAAATAATCAACAAACTAAGGAATTATTGATTCTTACAATAATGCAGACACCACATTCAAGAACCAGTCTTTAGGGTCCGGCGCCATGGCTCACTTGGTTAATCCTCCGCCTGCCTTGCCGACATCCCATATAGGCACCGGGTTCTAGTCTCGATTGCTCCTCTTCCAGTCCAGCTCTCTGCTGTGGCCCGGGAGTGCAGTGGAGGATGGCCCAAGTGCTTGGGCCCTGCACCCCATGGGAGACCAGGAGGAAGCACCTGGCTCCTGGCTTCAGATCGGCGTAGCTCTGGCTGTAGCGGCCATTTAGGGAGTGAACCAACAGAAGAAAGACTTTTCTCTCTGTCTCTCTCACT